AATTGTATTTGGAAGCAGGTCTATATGATGTTTGGCTTCAAGCTGTAAATAATAGGGGCTTCTTTAATGCTATTTTACGCTTCTGGATTCCCTGTTCCTCTGCCTGCAATGTTCACACTTGTATGTACGTGTGCGGTGCAGTGCAGTCTGAGTACTGTGAGGCGGTGGGTGCTTCTGTAAGTCTGTACGTAGGTGTGCGTGGGTGTGCATGTGTGGTAGTGACCACTAGTTGACCTACAGGTTTAGTAGCTGTTTCTCACACCTTTCATTCAAAAATGGAGGTGCATTCTGTCAAACAGGGTTAGCCCCAGCCACAGGTCATGGAGCGTAACTTCTAGCCCATGGTCAAGAGGGCTATAGCAGTTTCACACTGACCAGAGCATAGCAGTGTCTGTTTTTCATGCCTAAAAGACTACTAGTGGATGAAGCCTAGTAATTTGCAACTGTTTTGTCAGAATGCATTTAGAATTAAAATATTGAAATATATTTTGAAAATCTGCATATTGACTTGCAGAGGTGAATGCTAATTATTACGCCATCCTATAACATCAGGGCAGAGGAGGAGAAAAAAGTGTTCGTATTTTCGTGTAGGAAGTTGATCTGTTGCAATCTACTGCTATTGTGCAGAGGCTTTCGCAGCTGATGAGTCTGCTTCACTGGCTGCTTTTCCACTCTACACACATATGTGCAGATACACAGAAACACACGCACGCACACCCATTCCAGGCTTTGTGCGCAGTAGAATGCCGCACCTGTTCTTGGATCAGTGGGCCTGGGGTTGAGCAGCACAAATGAACTAATTTCCTGGGCTACATTAAGCAGAGAAACAGTGCAATCACGGCAGGAGGAGCCGGCCGGCCCGGCAGATGGGCCGAGCTAATCACTGTTGTGAAATAGAGCTGACCCTGCCTATCTCGAGCGCTGCCAACAGACATTTGCCAATCGCTCCACAATTCCCTCTCCTCTCCCCCACCTCTCCGTTTGCTTCTCTGCTCCTTTAAATGAGTTTAGGGGAAATCATAACCTCCTCAAAATGGCTGAAATGAAGTTAGGGGGGGAAAAAAACACCATGTTTGGTGAGACGGAACAGCTGTAAAAGAGCACTGAATGTGAGCGAGCGAGCGTGTGGGTGGGCGTCTGTGGGCGTCTGTGTGTGCTTGTGTAAATGAATGCTGCGTTTCTCATCAGAAAGTCACTTTTTCAATTTTGCAAACCTGCATGCAATTTGTTTTGTATCAGTAGCGATGCCCGGCCAATCAACCGCTGCACTGGCAATGCCTTTGGCTCTGCGTTTTCATTTCTCATTATTGGCTCTTTCCGCTATTTCTGAATTATTTGCCTTTCTGTGTTGAACGTCTAACAGTTCTGAGAATCAAGCTATGCCCAATGTAGCACAGCGTGTGGGGCACTGCTGATGTGTCACATTCTCCTCATGCAAAAAAGAAAACCTCTATATTTGTTCCTCCTGATCGGACACCGCTTCAGCGTTTGCCAGCTTTTCCAAGTAGTCGCTAGAGTGCTTGGCACAAGCTAGGATGGCAAGGACATCGAGCGTGTTCTAACGCGGTGGCCATTAGCTGGTGCAGCAATGAACTGCTTTTTGCTCAAATGCTGTATATTAATGGTAGCTAAATCTGTGACTTCATTACCATTATCTAGTGGTGATTTATTGATTTCTTCAGTGCTATATTCATTCTAATAATTACTTTCAGCTCTGCATTTTAACATTGGTTGACGTCTGTAGAAAATAGAGCGGGTTCATTAATTTCACAGTTTATTACCTATAGTTGGGCTATATTTCAAAATAAGTAGCAGAGGTTTATGTAACAGTCATGTACATACAGTGTATGTATGCATTTGAACAAAATGGCCATATATATATTCTGAATATTGTGAATATGTCCTTCTGCATGCACTCTGTCCGCAACCAGATGTATGTGGGAAAACTGATGAAAATATGTGTCTGCTTCACATAGTACACTCCCAGATAGCCTCTTACCTCCTGCTTCGCACTGTTCTAATGTATGCAAATGATCTGGCGTACTTAATGAAGGTGCCATTAATCACTGTAACGATGGTCTGTTTTAACCTGGTTAATTACAATCTGAAACATGTTTAAATATTCGCCAAGAAACGCCAGTTGAGTATGCAGATTCTTTTTTTATGAGCTACGAGTCAGTATGGAACAGCACCATAAGGTTGAGTTTATTCTACACCAACAAAGTACAGATTCTACCTGTGGTCTGAAACAGAATCATTCGATTACATACATAATATCATATATTAAGGAGTGCATAGGATTTGGGGGTTATGTAACAGTATTATCTCTAAGGATCATTTTATATTTGGTTTGATTTTCATTTCTTAAATTGCTAATATGTTCTCAAAGACTGCAGTATATGTGTAATCATTCAAGAAGTAGAAAGTGAATCTTTCTTTTCAGGCATTTCCAGAGTGAAGGGGGAAAAAGGTTGATCATTCTCTCGATTTTACTAATATATGAAATTGATGGTGCCATAAATGGTTGCCCTTTCCAGCTAAATGAGAAATCATAAACCTGTGGCTAGAACAAGAGTTTTTTTGTGCCAGGGACCCAGGCGCAAATGAAATTGTTCTCGGTGATGATTAGTTTGTTTGTGGATTTGTGTACAGCTTTTTTCAGAACTTGAATAATCTTCAAGTTCATAATTTCTGTGTTTATCAAACATAACGTAGTAATCACCCACACACACCTCATGAGGATTTGCAAGTAAGGATTTCAGTAACTGCTGTCGCTGGTAAACACTGCTTAGCTATTTCTTAAACCAAACACACGTCATGCCATCGCAGTGTGTCAGAGTGTGTGTGAGCGAGTGTGTGTTGGCAAAGCAGCCTCAGTGCTGTCAGTAGCACTGTGTTTTGTGTGAGAAAGGGCTCGGGCTCCAGGCAGGCATGCTGATCCTGTTTTGTGGGGAAACGGAACGAGAGCCCATCACAGATTAGACACCCACAGCTTCGTGTCGATTTAATGCACCAAGTCAGGGATTTACTTCGAACCGACCGGCGCCGACTCTACCAGCCTGCCAGGGCTTTCCCGCACTGCCTGCTTCTCTCTCTCTCTCTTTCTCTCTCTCTCTCTCTCTTTTTCTCTCTCTCTCTCTCTCTTCCTCACCTAAATCAGCTCCTCATACCAGCAATGCCACGTCAACCCGCTGTCTTATTATGAAACAGACTGAAAATGGCAGCACTGACAGCTAAGTTCAAGCACAATGCTTGTGCATTTGCTGAAAATGAAACCTACACATTTTATTTGCTGCGGTACTGTAACTTAATATGCATGTAATACATATTATGTAGTATTAGGTAGCTGTAAACTTAAAGCATCTGCCCATTAGCTTTTATTATAAGTGCGTTTTTTTGTTATTTTACTAAGTACAGGTAAACGTGTCGAAATTATAGTCCATAGTAATGGATCGTACACTACAGAGGCAGAAAATATTCTTTTAACCTCTTTTCATTTGCAAAAAATAAATGAAGAAGAGTCATACCACCATATAGTAGCCCATATGCTTTTTAAGGGCAATACAGGTGAGTCTGTAATGCCTTCTCCACACAACCGTAATTGCAGATATGGGTACCTGAGCTTGCGCACAATAAAATCACGAAACGTTGTCCCACACTGCAGCATGCCAAAATACCTTCACTTCACCCAAACAGCTTCACACTAAAAGGGTCTAGTGCACCAAGGGAAAAAAAGTTAAGAAATTCAAGGTCACAGTCTAACACAATCCAAATGCACTTATATCTCACCTATAAGCAACCTTTTGCTATGCCCAAAATGAGTAGACACACTACAGTACAAACACAAACACGCACGCACATGCACACAAACAGACTTTCAATTTCAAGCATCACCACACACAAGGTGCAAACACATACCCGGCAAAACATACACAAACAAGTCAATATTCTCTCTCATTCACTTACTCACTCACTCACTCACTCACTCTCTCTTTCTGTCTTTGCTTAGAGTGTTAGTGCTAGAAATAGTAGGCGGACTTGTCATCACACAAGAAAGCATGAAAACAGTTGCTAATTCAAGCCTCAGGGCCACAGTCATTTGCCTAAATTGAGTAACTATTATGCTATTATACTACTTCCTCTTGTTTGTTTTAACCGTATTCTGCTCTCATTTCTCATTTTCTCTGACACAATAGCGTATCTGTCTATCCTCTTACCCCCAGTGACCTGGCCCCCGACTGCTGGCTGGATGGATCGTGGGGCAAAAGCAGGGAGCCCATGCCCGGGACGGAGCCTTCAGCCTGGGCTAGTGCCGAATACTGGGAGTACCTTACCATCATCTTCAGATACTGCCCGTAAGGTGCGCGATCACACAAAGGACAAAGACAAAAGAAGAAACAAGAAAAAAAGGGGGAAAAGAGGAAAAGAATAGAATGGTAAAAAGAGAGGGAGCACAAAGACAGAAAAAGATAGACCATAGGGAAGAGGAGAGAGAGAGAGAGAGAGGTGGACAGCTACAGTGATAGACAGCCGTGTGCTCGTGTACTAGCACGTTCGTACACACACACGCACGCACAGTCATGCACACACACACACACACACACACACACACACACTGTAAGCCCCATATGGGCGAGTTATCAAGCAAGCTCAGCAGTTAGAGCCATCTTGCTTTGAGTAAATGAGAAAATGAAATGATTGTGTGGCGGAGAGACGGCGGGTTTAAGCCTATCCTCCATTTACAGTGAACCCGCCGTTCCAACAGCCCTGGAAACTAACCCGGCTACACACACTCCCTGAGACCCTGTGCAATGAAGCTAGCCCCCTACACAGCTGCCACATCTATAAGCATGGACACGTTTGTACAACACAGACACACGTTTAACGTCACACACTCAACGGAATGGTTGGCAGCACACGCACGCAATCAAACGCATTCGCGCTCACACGCACTGAAAGCGGGGTGAAAAAGAATAGATAATCAAATCCTACGTCTTTACCTCATTGCTCAACAAAGCGGCGTTCAGTGTTCGGCTGATTTCGAACATCTTGTTTCTTGTTGCGATTGTTTTCTCTCTCTTTTTTTTTTTGGTTGTCTCTTGTCCCTTTTCGCCTCTCGTTCACTCACTCTTGCGGCCGTCCGTCAGTGGAAGTCTCCCTTCTCTCTCTTTTTTCTCTCTACCGGAAATGGGAATTGGTCCCGACAAAGGAAAGGAGGAAAAAAAGAAAGGAAAAAAAGAAAACAGGTTAAAAAAAAGAAGAAAAAACAGAGGGTAAAAAAAATCCGCTAAAACGTGTTGTTTTGCGCTGCGGATGTATTTTGTCCGCCCTCGCGCCCTGTTTTTTCTCTTTTTTTCTTCTTTTTTGCGGTGCACCTCTTGTTAAATGTGGCGCTCGTGCCCTGGCTCTCGGCACACGACTGAAGAGTCAATATTTTTTCTTTTTTTTTTATCTCCCCAGAGTCAGCACATTAAAACAAGCAGCCGGGCTGGCGGGCTTCTTTTCCTTATCTGTCCCCCGCACACTCACTCTCACAATGCGCTCCGATCCGCACACTGCTCTCTAGCAGATTACTCCGTCCCAAAACATAGCTCTTAGTTTAAACTCCTCTCTCTCTCTTTCTCTACCTCTCCCTCGACCCTTTCTCTCTCTTCCTCTCCCTCCCTCCCAGACTCTCTCTCTCTTTCTCCCTCCCTCCTCTCTCTCTCCCTCGCTCTCTCCCTCGCTCTCTCTCTCGCTCCCTCTCTCTCACGATCACGCTCTCCTGCAGCTACAGTTCGCAGTGTTACCACAAGGTGGGTAGACTGTTCTAACAGACGTGACACAGGCACATCTGCCTCACGCCACTGCCTTCTTCCATTGCTCAGAGCTCCTGCTGCATAGAGAGAGCACCGAAGATGCTCGCCGGGCTCTGTTTCTGCCTCTGTGTCTTGCTTCGGCCACGTTTGATGTGCACAAGAGAGCTGAGCTGCTTTACGCAGCACTGCCATTAACCGCCTCCCTGACCAGTCGAGTCGTTGCTGCAACGAACACTTAGGTTTAGCTGTGCTGCGAAATTACATCTGAAGACTTTTTCTTTGGTGCTGTATGTGCTGTATGTAGTCCTTTGTCTACTACATTCTGATGCTCGGGAGGTGTAACAGAATGTACAAGCACAAGGCCCAGTTTCATATGTTCTTCAACAAACAAAAGGTTTCGCTCACAACTCTGGGCTGTGTTGAGTCATATGACGATGGCAGATTCTGATCAGGAACTGCAAGTGGCAGGTCAGTTTTCATTAAAGCAACAACAGGGGCTTTCACACAACAATAACAAGGCTTTAACGTGATCCCTGCTCAAATGTCCAGTATGTACAATCATCACCTTCTCTCTTACTAATCTTAGAGCTGGCCTTGGCCATTTCTTTGCTCGAGCCTTCACCTGAGCAACCGGAATAAGATATCTGACTGGGTCAATTATGAAATGTATGCAGTACATTAGAAACAATGTAAATATTGGTAGAGGGACCGTAGAAATAAAATTACATTACAAAGTCAATTACATAAAGCTATAGTGAAACTGAAAGCCCATTTCCCTTACAGAGAAGTATATTAGACTAAACAAGTTTTTATTTTTGGATATGCAGTGTTTTATGGATGCACAGAATCATATCAATATTGTCAGATAACTGCTTGGCAAAAACAAAATAAACAAATAAACAAGAAAACAAGTATCTGAAAAAATGGCAGCTTCACAAGTTAGTTCATGTAAATTTTATTTTCAAGCAATTTTGGAGCATTTCCATTTCTGTTTTCACACAACATAAATGGCAGTTGCTGGACAGTGATGATTAATTGTCTGCAATTAATTTTTTTTGAATTGATAAACCCTACACAAATAACTGATATATTTCCCTATAATGCTATTCCAGGTAGATATAGTCCCAATTTGACACATTATACATACACACACACAAAATAGTCATACAAAATTAAATTATTTTGGTACACAAAACTAAATGTTATACATATATATATATATATATATATATATATATATATATATATATATATATATATATATTTATATAATATTTATATGTATATATATATATATATATATATATATATATATATGTATTATATAATGTTGGCAGGGTTTGTATATTTTGCTGTTTACATGTTAGGAACCTCACTGGTATGAAGATTTTGCGTTAACTATATGGAGTCTGTTACACTTTGCTTTTACTGTTTTTTATTCTTCGTCTGATATTTATTTTGAGCGATATTTTTATTGCTGGCCTTGATGATGCTTGTTATTGGACTGGGAAAAAGAAATAATAACCGCCTTTTGATGTGATTTGGTCATTCTCCCAAAATATGTATGACAAACTCTGAGGTCATGTTGTAGTCACAGATGTCTTCCTACCAGCAAATGACAAAGTAGCGCTATGATCTAATACTGAGCAATTACTAAGCAGTTACTTGCGATATTTGATAAAGTGGAGCATAAGAAGATATAGAAAATGTAAATAGTTTTGGCATCTCCACGAAATTGTCATAAACAAGATTTATATCTTTATAAGGCAGCTAAAACAGAAAAGAACTGCATTAATGCCAGGGTGAGCAGCTATTTCATGATGACTCTCTGTTGTTGATTAATTTTTTTGCAAAAATCTAATACCTGTTAAGAATGAAGAACAAGGTATTATGCAGATTGTTGTAATACGAAGAATAAATTCAGATGGCACTTAAATGACAACAAAATAGAGGCATGATGGTAGCAAAAAGGAATTTTAAGCTTTTCTGTGGACACAGCTCAGTGTGGTATAACATCTTGGTGGATCATGGATGTGGACCACAGAGAGAGTGGGTATGGGTGCGGTAGGATGGGTGAATTTCTTTCTGCGGATAGTACAGTATGCTCTGGTCTCCATGCCACAGGAGAGGCAAGTGTCCAGTTAATAGCAGCCTATTGACACCGGCCCATCTGTTAGGGTGGACAGCAGCCAATGGCGAGCGAGTGAGAGAGAGAAAGAGCACCCTGCCATGTTTCTCTAATGGAACTGATCTTTTTTTATTTCAGTGTGCCTGAGCATGCATGCATGCATGTGTACGCTTATACATGGGTGGGTGTGTGTGTGCTAGGATGGGTTGTCACTTGAATCATGGAGTCTGCTGGTTGATTCCAGTGTCAGCTGCCTCTCATCCCCCATCTTCTGTCCGCTCGTGTCCCAGGAGGCTTCTGATTGCTGTCGCCATAGTGACTCTATGTGCCTTCCTAAAGCCCGCTCAAAGCCTGCCACATCTCCTGTGGGTCTGCCTTCTCGACGCATGACCTCCCATTCACTAAGAGGCTGTATTCATGCTGTCCCAACATGGTCCGGTTAAAAAGGGTTTCCCTGTACACCACCGAAAACATGGTGCTCCCAGAGGACACACGCACAACATGCACGCAAAATAATATGAACTTTCTTTTCTGATGTTTCAATACATGTTGCACGGAAAAAGGCAGAATCTTGCTATAAGCATTTAGCAGCTTTTTGCTAGCATCAAATATCAGTGGAACAGACAGTTGAATGGAGTATTACAGTGGACTGAAACTTATTTTGATGTGGAAAAAATGTTATGTCTCTGGAGAACCAATTAAAAATGTGGTGAGGATCAAGAAGTGGACTGTACTATGGTTGTGTTCTGTGTGATTGATGTGTTGATTAAATCATCTGTTCGGCGATGACAGGAACAGCACAGTGAAGAGAGGAGGAGGATGAGGAAGATTGTACTCCTGCAGGCACGTCATAATTGTCAAAGGAATACCCACAGAGATTCAGCAAGCCCCGAAACACTCTGTGGTTGAGGAAATAGGCCGGTATATGCTGGCAGCTTGCTTGCGCATTCAGTGGAAAAAAAAAAAAAAACAAGAACAAAAGAGGCAAGAATTACGAACAATCCATATTTCTCTTAGCCTATACATTTCAGCAAGCCCAGCGAATGCATGGCACAGATGCATGGAACTCGCTAATTGGTGGTAGAGAATGACACACCACCAAAGACAGCTATTCAATTTTCAATTTTAAGGAGATATCGGCCAGCACAATTTCTCATCACTTAAAAAATAATCAGTCCACACTGGCTGCTCCACTGTCTGTAGTTTGCCATCAAATATGATCAAAGAGGGTAGAAAAAAATCATTGCCAATTTTGCCTTATTAAAGAAGACTCCCCTCCCCAGCCATCCTTGTCTGTGTCTAGCACCCAAAGCTTATAACCTGGAAATTAGTAGGAGAGAGTCTGTATGCTTGTGCCTGCCTGAAACAGTCATATGGTCATTCATTTGAAGGCTAATCAAAAAGCGGCACTATTAATAGAAAATGAATAGGGCCTGGCTTGTGCTTGATGGCATAGACTGTCCTCCAATTGTCCAGGAATTCACACGTTTTAATCAGCACACATATAATTGAGAAGAGACAGACAGTATCGGTCATGAGGGACATTGCAATTTCGAAACCTGAAACACTTGAAAGGAACAGTTGATGATGGCAATTTCTGCGGCCTGCTTTTCCCCTTACAATGTGTCAGGGAAAATGTTAAAAGAAAAGTATCTGGAAGTAGCTGTGATTTCTTTTTTACTTTCTTTTCCAGAAGTTTGTTTTATACCAAAATTGATTAATTCTGTAAAGAAGACAAAATTGTTTACAAAATTTTATACAATGAACATAAAAAGAAATCTTAATGCACTGAAGATAAAAGTGGGAATGGGGGTGTATGAACTATAGGCTCAGTGCCAGCCCTACCTAATAAGCGACATAAGCAGCTGCTTAGGGCCCCAACGCCACCAGGAGGCCACCTGATTACTTCTGTCTTTTTATTATTGTATAAGATGCTCGAGTGAGGGAAAAGAAATCAACTGGTTGATCATGTTTCAAAAAAGAACATTGCATCTGGAGCTGAAAAACATACAGCTGTTGGCACAGCCACCAGGGTTGAATCAAGCTTAAAGTTAACTAGCTTAGCAAGAAGTACTACATAATGAGACAGCCCTCTGGATTGAGAGACGGTCATCTGTAATTTAAAATGTATTAATCAGAACCTCAAATGAGCATCCAATGATCAGTAGTACACAAATTAACCGGTTATAAATTTGTATAATTTAACAGCTTGTGGTAGTCATTCTTATTATTTAGCACATCATTTTATAATACATCAGCTAGCAAGATGGGGGCCTGAAAATCATGCTTAGGGCCCCCAAAAGGCTAGAGCTTGCCCTGAGTAGGCTATATCCCCATATATGTCCTGCTGTAAAAAGACCATTAGAACCATTAGGTTTAGAACCTGATGGTTTTGCTGCTTAATGGGAATTGCCATGACAGCAAAAGGATAGTGGGCCACTGCTGGCCTGCTGGTAGCAAAGCTGGCAGTCCACTGGCGTTTTGCTCAGCGTTTTCTGGGCGATCCACCAGTGGTTAAGCAGAGTAATAGACAAAATTACACTCATCACTCATTTTCCACTCATAGTCCAGTTTACTTATTTTTCATTCTTTCCTTTTTTTGTCGTTAATACTTTGTTAATTAGTTTAGGAAATCATTTTAATCTAGCACAATGTCAGCAACAACATTTTCTATAAAATCATTTTATATTAGGCCTAGTCATTATTTTTTCTCTCTCAGTTGTTTGTAATATTTGTCTCAGTTTATTTTCCAAAATAAAAGGCTCTGTGCATTTAAAATCTGTTTGAGGAGATTAAAACTAGTTAGAGCTTGTATGTAGGACAATAACCTGGGTGGTCCATGGGTGGACCAGAAGCGGCGAACGGTCAGCGGGGTGCCGACCTTATCAAGCTAGCGGACCGATATATTCTTGCTATCTGGGTGGCTTAATACTTATCATTACAGGCCTAGTTTCCAGAAGAACCCATTTAGATCCCATTAGGAAACCGTCAAATGCACCTGAAATCAGTCATATAACACCTGTTAAACCACTGGAATCCTTAACATGGTGAAATCAACCAATCAGGAAGGCACAAAATACCTTTAGTGACTATTGGACACCTCCAGGAACCAACTTTTAGCCTCTAAGATTTTTTTCAGTAAGGTAATATATGAAGAGTATCTTGATTTTACAGTGATTTCTTCTTTTTTCAGAACTTTGTTTTGTACACTGTATTCTTGTACACAGGAAAAAAAATTATGGTAATATTTTTCTGAAAGGTGGCAAACAGAACATGACGTTATGAAGACTTAGTCCAACAATGATTTGTTGTTAAAATGGCTGTTTTAGGCAATTTGAATGTCGTTCCACCCATGTCTAATGACAACCGGCACTTGTTGAAAGTTTTTATAAATAAGCTTTTATAAATGTTTATACAAGTATATGTCCGTTGTCATAAAAAGGCTTATGAATATTTGTGTCATGTTGTGTTATGAAGGCTGTCCTGCAGAAAAGTGTTAGCAATTGTCTTTATGCGCAGAAGAAAAAAGGACTGTGAGGGTGTTTGATGACAAACATTCTGAACCCCCAGTAGGGCAGCTCATGTTTCCTGTCCAGTGCTTATACAGGTATGAGAATTAATATTAATCAGATGATGCTGAGAGACATCCGTGTAGCTGGGGGAGCTGTACGTTCTTTCTGTGCGCGAGCCTGCTCTCCATGTTACGTCAAATCCTCGCGCGCCTCTTCGCCGCGGCGTTGTCTTGGCAACGCACCTGCAGCGTGGTGGCTGAAGCTGGGAGCGCGGAGGAGAAAACACGGAGAGGAAGATGGAGGAGAGCGCCAGAGAGCTCGACACTGGTGTGTAAAACAAAAGCCAGTGTCACGCGTAGCTCCGACCAACACAAACATGTCGAATGACCTTCGGAGCATGAGTGTAGAAGCGCCAGCTCTGCGGGGAGGCGTGCGGGTCTGAGCGCTAGCTCCGCGTTTGTGAACACTGACTGTTTGCTAACGTTAGCCAACCCAGCTAATAGTAAATGGTTGGTGGGTGTCAGACTGACGTTAGGCTACAGAGAAGTCTCGCTTGAGGAGACGCTTAAATCACAAAACAGCCGTTGTTTCGCACATTGAGTCTGTAGCGATATCTTAGACTGAAAGAACCGTGTTGTGGGCTTAATGAAGACTGTACAGTACAGGGGGAGGACCTGAATGAGTCGCTGTCTTTCCATGGGCACCTGTATTTGTTAGCTAACCTACGTTAATAGCAAACGACTACCTTCGTCATCACGTATGCACGTGTCAGAGGATATAGGATAATCAAAAAAGCAAAAGTAATAAAATATAATAAACAGGACAGGAGTTTGCCAGTTAGATAGCATGGATTATTGCTGTTTATTGTAGTCATGTTATTCCAGTGTGCGCATATACATGTAATTATAGCGTGCTTTTTCCGTTGAAGGGGGGAAGAAAGAAACTATATTAAAATGTAAGACTGCTGACAGTGAGCAGTTTTCATTGGCCAGTGATCAGTTTGTTTTTTTTTTCAGTTAGCAAATGTGCCAAGAGCCAGCATTTTATGCAAGACTCTTCAGCACCAAGTCAAATAAACAGTATATTAACATATACAGTACAGTCACTGCTATCTAAATTGCATGTAAGTTGATCAGTATACTGCATTATCTATGTGCTAATTTATACCGATTACTAATTATGTAGTAATTTAACTGCAGTCTACTGAAAGTTTTACTCAGTAGGGGTGGAGGTTCCAAGATGAACAGTGACCAATTTAAAATCTGCCTGTCCTGACTAGATCAAAGCCTGAATAAATCTGAAAAACTGAACAGCCCCAAAGAGGAGCGTAGTTCAAAAGCACACTGGCATCTTCAATTGCTGTTATGAGATGCTTTGTTATTTTACGTCTGTAGCTCCATCTGTGCTTCCTCTCTGTTTGGCTGAGGTGGATGCTGAGCCGTTGTTGTGTGTTCCGCAGGCAGTGAGGCAGGAGGAGACGATGCTTTGGTGGGAAATGTGAGCAAACTGACAGTCACTCCTCCAGGATACACAGGAGCGCCCAGGAAAGGACACCTCATCTTTGATGCCTGCTTTGAGAGTGGTGAGTAGGCTAAATAATCAGAGCTCTGTCATCCAGGTTATGGATTTTTGCAGTTTACATTTGCCTTGTATACATTCCAGAGAAGTGATGTTGTATTAAGCTCTCCTGCCTAGTTGGTCTACCAGGAATGAGGAATGAGTTCATTCTAATGAAAGAATAAATACATTTGTTTGTTTGCCTGCTGGTGCAAAAATCTTATTAACAGTTTTACAAACCCCATTTTTGGGAAATTTATGACATTTTGTAAAATGCAATAAAAACAAGAATCTGTGATTTGGTAATTCTCTTGAACCTTAACTGGTACAGGTACAAAGAAATGACTTTTAATGTTTTGGCTGAGAAACTTGATTGTGTTTTGTAAATATACCTGCAGCACATTCAAAAAAGTTGGGATGGGGCAAAATAAGGGTGAAAAGTATATAGAATATTCACGTTGTGCTGTTTTTAAACATTTCACAATAAGCAGATTATTAGAGAACAGGTGAGGGTATCATAAATGGGTATAAAAGCAAGCAAAGATGTGTTGTGGCACACCACTTTGCACCAAATGTCATGAGAGAATTGTCAAACACTTCAAAAAGAACATTGCTCTACACAAGATTGCAAACAATTTAAGTCTTTCACTATGAACCATACATAATATTGTGAGTTTCAGAGAATCCAGAGAAATCTCAGTACATACAGGGGAAGGCCAGAGACCACTGTTGAATATGAGTGACCTTCAAGCCCCTAGACAGCATTGCATTAGAAACTGTCATGCTATTGTGTTAAATATAGCCACATGGGCTCAGGAGTACTTCAGAAAACCACTGTTACTTAACACAGTCCGGCACTGGATCAAGAAATGCAGCTCCATAATGCAAGGAGAAAGCCGTACATCAATTCTATGCTGAAACGCCACCGAGTTCTTCGGGCCTGAGCTCATCTCATATGGTCCGAAAGACAGGGGAAATGTGTGCTGTGGTTAGGTGAGTCCACGTTTCAGCTTATTTTAGGAAATTGGACGTCGAGTTCTCCATACCAAAGACAAAAGGGACCAAACTTTCATCAGTGAAAAGTGCAGAAGCCAGCATCCGTCATGGTATGGGGGTGTGTCAGTGTCCCTGGCATGGGTGACTTGCATGTGTGTGAAGGCGTTAATATGGAGGCGTGTATTGGGGTCTTTTCCCAGGACGTCCCTACTTGTTTCAGCAAGACAGTGCCAGACCTAATTCTGCATGTGCTACAACAGCATGGCTTCTTAGACGCAGAGTGCATGCATTGACTGGCCTGCCTGCAGTCCAAATCTGTCTCCTATTGAAATGTATTGTGCGTCATGAAGAGGAGAATCAGGCAGTGATGACCACACACTTTTGAGCAGCTGAAGTCTTGTATCAAGGAAGAATGGGCAAAAATTCCACTTGCAGAATTGCAACAATGAGTATTCTCTGTTCCCAAACGAGAAGTGTGATTAAAAGGAAACGTGATGTAACACAGTGGTCAACATACCTCTGTCCCAGCTTTTTTCAGTGTGTTGCAGGCATCAAATTCTGAATTTTTTGTATTTACAAAATACTCTTAAGTTGGTCAGTGAAAACATTGGAAATCTTTTCTTTGTACTTTTGTTAGTTAAATAAAGGTTGAAGAGAATTAATAAATCACATTTTTTTTTTTTATTATTTTTACAAACTGTCCCAACTCCTTTGGAAATGGGGTTTGTAGACACTACAGTACAAAAATAGAACTGTTAAGTACTTAGATTTTTGAGCAATTCAGTGCTAACTGTCCAAAAATATCTAGGTGGAAATATCACATAATTGTAGGAAATAAAACTTTTGTAAAAAGAAAAAGTAGTAAGTGGTTAACATAGCCAAAAGATATATAATTAAACACAATCAAGATAAAACTCTCATTTTTAATTACTATTTTCACATATTTAATTCAGAAGTGTTAGTTATCTCTTCATTTAAACTCTCCTTAAAGGACAACTTTCACATTTTCTTGACGTTTAGCACTTGCTACATGCATCTGTCATTACTTTCATTAGGTCACTCTTGGAGTGAATGAATCATTCCATTTGAAATGTAGTAAGACAGTTTTTCTTTGATTATTTTTAATAGCAACCAAGGGAACTGAGTGCCCATTACAAAAACAGACCATAAACCACATATAGGTCCTGGTGGACATATAGCCTGTGGCTATTACATTTGTATCATACACACCCATTTTTTGAAACTTTCAGGCTAATCAAATGCTGTAACCTTACAGTGATTAATATTTTTGCATTCCTCTTGCCAGTTTCTGCCATATTTAGTCTATTTTTTAGTCTAAAATTCAGCATATTTTGGAAACCCAAAATATCTAAAATTCTCATGTGACCCTGAGGTTCAGGGAACAAGTTACATCTAGTTGAATCTCTGGCTGAATCTCTTCTTTTTGTGCTAAAACATTTACTGTTGTGTATGGCACTGTATCAGTTAATGCCCATCAATGCAGCGTGATTCACAGAAGGAATCTGATACTTCAAAATTTTGTTAAAGTAAATATCCTGTTCTTGGACATATGTTGCATTGTCATGAGACTAAAACCTCCTTAGGGCCTCAACATCCTGTATGCAAAGATGCGAATACATTCTACATATGCACTTTATTAGCTGTTTTCTCCTCTAATGCCAGCATTGTATTTTAAAAAGGGCTGCAAACCTTGAAGCTATAATGACTCTGGCCACTATAAAAATGATGTTACAATGAAACATTAGGCTGAGATTATGTATTGTGAAAGCTGTGTGATTACAAATGGCAGCTGTTATCTTATGTTGAGTTGAACTTTCTTGCTATATAGTGCTAGACAATTCTCAGAGTGCGATATGCTTTTATGGGCTAATTATCTCCTTTTTAAAAGAGGGAGTAAAAAATTTAAAGCCTGGTGCGAGAGTGCCTGCTCTTTTACCTTGTCTGTCTGCCATGTTGAAAGCTGTAATTAAACAGTGCTGTAATATTTTGAAGAATGCTTTGAGTAAATGGCCTTTGTTTGGCTCTTTTTGCAAGGGTTGAATGAATGGCGGCATAATGAAAATAAAGTGCTTTTTCTGTGACAAGGTCAAGTGGGCAGCTGAGAGCAGCTCTGGGTTGGATTGACAGTGAATCAGTAGGGCTCTGGAACAGACACAATATCATTCTCTGCTGGGAGATTAGGTTCAGGGTCTCCAGCAGATGAGACTCAACTTTCATATTCTTGACAGGCAACCAATTCACTCCACTGCAGGGCCCAGGCTCGCCACTGCCTCTGGCCTCCCTGTGGGAGAGCTTTTTAAAGGATTTTTGTGCTTTTGGAAATGTTCTATATCAATGCAATTTTAGGATGGACCAGGCTTTTTGGTCTTATCACCTTGTTACTTTGTGCTAAGAAAAGTTGAATGAAAGTAGCCCATATGGTTTAGTAGCCTTTGATTGAAAGCTAAAATGGAAGGTTTGAGTTGTGGTACAGAAGCAATGCATCACAATATCATACATTGCAATAGTAGCCTCATATGACAGAAGTCTGAACATGTGCAGTCAGAGTTTGAAGACATAAACAGGGCTGTCTAACAATGTCAGCGAAAGACAATATTGTGCACTTTGGGAGATCGTCAGTGGTGTGAAGCAGCTACGTGCTTTGTATCTTCGTTTCTATTTGTGGGCAGCGAAGGGCAGTGGCAAAAGGACAAGGAATATGATCAACATAAATTTACAGAGCCTGAGTCAATATAAATAAATAATCAGGAGATTTTATAAGTTTCTCTGTTTTCCCTACTGACTGGCCCTGAGGACCTGCGACATTGATTAATGAGCATCGAGCGGCCAGGCAGAGATCAGCTAACATATATGATATTACCCCCATGTCTCAGGCTGGGGAAATTCTCCTGAATGATTTATGGAATTGATATTAATCTCCTTCCAGTAAATGCATTACTGCAAGTTGGAAAAGGGAGAGGAATTGATATTATGGCGCTAATGTCAAATTAATGTCCTGTTGCTGCTTCAGCAAAGCAACACGGCAGCTAAACGACGTTAACCACTTACCCACTGACAGAGGAGAAGTGACGCTTCTCTGGCACCAATTGCAGCTTTTGGTGTAAAACGTTGAGTGCTGAGCTCCAATGTCACTAAAAGGACATGCCACAGAGGAACGTTATGGAATAAGAAAGGCCTAGATTTGACACTTAATTACTCATCTCTTAACGCTGAAAATGTAAGCGAGGGGAAGTTTCTAGCTAACTTTCGAGCTAACTCTACTGAACCAAACTTTTCATAAAAAGAAAATGCCATTTTCTGTGTTTTTTAAATTTTTCTACTTAATTCCAGAATAGTTGGAATGCGTGAAATGTAATTGAATGTAATTGAATTATAAAATAGTGTAAAGTGAAGACATTTGGTGACATCAAATTCTTCTAATAAACCATGTAGCCAAAAAAAACCCATGTAGTTGTACATGTAGTAGTCATGTCAGTTTTTGACATAGAATCGTGAATTCAGTTGACATCTTAATCCTCAATTTACATACCTGTGATGTGATTTGACAGTGACAGCTGGGAAATTAACATACTTCATGTATTACATGTCTTTCAGCGTGTTGTATTTTAAAGGTGTGACATCACAGTTCCACACATACTCTCACTTCAAGCTTAATTTATTGCTGAGTGAGTCATAGAAGTTTAAGCAAATGTGTTTATTTGACTCGAAGCTGAGATATCAGTCAGCTTGCCTCCTGCTGCCAATACAATTGTTTCTCCTTTTCTTTTTCTAAGACAGCTGTCAAAGTTTTGCATAAAAATGTGAATTCGGAGAAATGGCTCATATCTTTAGTATCCAGGTAATAAATTCTAATTGGTTTATTAAAACAGTCCATGGTTATGTAAACTGTTTACTGAAGGTATAAAACACCTAATTTACATTTAGATGAGATATATCTCACTTCCATGTCAGCCGTATGCAGATTAGGGCAGTAGTATATCTTTTCTGAGGCAGTTAGGCCTCCAGGTT